TCTTGCCAAGTTGCCCAGGTGGGTCTCGAACCCGTGGGCTCAGGTAATCCACTCACCTCAGCCTCCCAAAGTTCTGGGATTACAGGCTGAGCCACCAAACCTGGGTGTTTTTTTTTTAAGGGTTGCTACTAAAAGTGTTTGTAAACTTCTGGACTAAATAATTCCCCAGGTTCTGCGTGTGTGTGTGTTGTGGGGAAGAGACACTGAGGGAATCTCCCTAAAAGCTTTGTTTTAGGGACAGAAAATGCCACTCAGCCCCTCTAAATTCTCAGAAACTTAAAATCTTTTAGGACTTGGTATCAAATTTGCTCCCACCACAAACATTTTTCAGCTAACTGTAATCTGGCCAGGTGCAGTGGCGCATGAGACAGGAGGATTACTTGAGGCCAGGAATTCTAGACCAACCTGGCCAACATAGCGAGACCTCATCTATACATATATTAAAAAAAAAAGGTCAGGCATGGTGGCACGCACTTGTAGTTCCCGCTACATGAGAGGCTGAGGCAGATGGAAGGATCTCCTGAGCCCAGGAGGTCAAGGCTGTAGTAAGCCATGATTGTGCCATTGTACACCAGCCTGGTGGACAGAGTGAGACCCAACTTAAAACAAAACTGTAATCAAACACTGCCTTCAGCACTTCTTGGTGTTCAATGACGTTGATGCTTCCCCCAACAGCCTGGAAGCTCCATGTAGATCAGGGGCTGCTGACCTTGTCACAACTGTATCCCTAATGCCCACAGCAGGGTGAGTCTCCACCATTCACTGAATATTTACTACCCGGTAAGTGTGCAGAGACCATTTCTTTCCCTCTGCACCCCCCAGGCCACCCTCTTCTGCTTCCCCTTCTGAGCCAGCTTGAATCTACTGAGAAAGTCCTGGAAACTTGTCTCCATTCTCCACTCATTAGTTGCCTGCAGCTCTGGGCTTCAGATTATGTCTCTCTCTATTCCACAGTTTTCTCATTTGCCAAAAGGATTAAAATGATCTGTCCTGTTGACCTCACAGGCTTGTTGAAGGAATAAAGCAATGTTGTAGGCTGGACACAGTAGTTCATGCCTAGAATCCCAGCACTTTGGGAGGTGCAGGCGGGGAGGATTGCTTGAGTCCAGGAGTTTGAGACCAGCTGGGGCAACATAGCTAGGCAAAAAATTTTAAAGTTAGCCAGGCACGTTGGTACACACTTGTAGTCTCAGCTACTCGGGAGGATAAAGCAGGAGGATTGCTTGAGGCTAGGAGTTTGAGTCTGCAATGAACTATGATTGCACCACTACACTCCAGCCTGGGTGATGTAACCGAGAGCAAGATCCTGCCTCTAAAAAAAAAAAAGAAGAAGAAGAAGTGAATGCAACAGAACTCCCACAATTTAAAATAATCATTCAAATATGGGTGATGCTTACCTGTTTTGCTTTTGTTTTAGTCACAGGGGCTAGAAACATATAGGGAGGTCAGGCATGGTGGCTCATGCCTATAATCCCAGCACTTTGGGAGGCTGAGGCACAAGGATCACTTGAGCCCAGGAGTTCAAGACCAGCCTGGGCAACACAGTGAAACTGTCTCTATAAAAAATAAATTAAAAAAAAAAAAAGAAACATGTAGGGTCCTGAGTCAGGCCCCAACTCCAGCCTTAAACTTACAACTTGGGCACCTTTCCAACTCATCTGGCCCCCCTGAATGTACACCTCTTCATGACCCACTCATGTTCCACCCAGGTAAGGCCAGCCCTCCCCTCCAGCAGAAGCACCCACACCCGCAGTCCTCCTTCTGGTCTTCCAAAAAAACCTGTACTCCATCCTGATACACAGTTCCATATCTACTCCTCTTGGGAGGCCTTGCCAAGTCAGCCAAAACCGAATGATCATCCTTCTCCGTGGCCTCTACCTGGCCCTTGCTCCTGCTATATTTCATCGGCCAATCTTCATGCCTTAATTTCCCCTGCCCGAACCTCAACAATCACCTCATCGCATGACCACATTCCACTGCCCTTTGCTCTGTTTGACCTCCCCACTGAACCCTGGGCTCTAGGGGGTGCAGTCATGTCAGATGTTGAAAAGCTTGACCCCCAACACGGACATCTAGGGCCTTGGGAACCAGAGGCAGTCTTTGCACTGAGCTGGCTCTCATATAAGGGTCCTCTTTGGCGTTCCCTGCGGTCCCCAAACATAAGGGTTTCTGTGACCCCTCTCCTTGGCTGACCCCACCACCGAGTCCCTTGAAGGAGAAGAGGCAGACAGGACCATGCCTAGACTAGCCCCTGCTTCTAAAACCTGTGCATAAGGAAGAGTAGTGTGTGTGCCCTCTCTCCAGCTCTCTACTTTTTTTTTTTGAGACAGGGCCTTGCTCTGTCACCTAGCTGGGGTGCAGTGGCACAATCACAGCGCACTGCAGCCTCAAACTCCTGCTTCAAGCGATCCTCCCTGCTCAGCCTCCCAAGTAGCTGGGACTACAGGCACACATCACCATGTCCAGCCAGTTTTTAAACTTTTGTAGATTTGGGGTCTCACTGTGTTGCCGAGGCTAGTCTCAAACTGCTGGCCTCAAGCAGTTCTCTCAGCTCCAGCTCTTACGTGCCCCCCATTTGAACCCTCATTCCTGTGGCCTCCCTCAGTCTCACGTTACCTGTTCCTGTCATTCAGGTCTCGCGGCTCATAAAGAACAAACAGATTTAGGGACCTGATGCAACCTTTTAATTCCAAGCAGAGTCCCCCTCCCCCAGCATTGTCACACACACAGTGGAACGGGATGCCAGGGTCTGGGCAGGAACAACACCCAGACCTGGGCAAAAATATAGATATAATTATATACACATGTGTATTTGGAGAGAAGTAAAGCCGGGAGTGTGATCAAGGTAGGACAGGGAGTGAGGTGAGGAAAGCTGCTGGGGGGGCCCCAATAAATTACATTCTTGAGAGAGTATAGTGAGGAGTGCATGGGTACGGGTGGGAGCTGGTAGCCAGGACACTCAGAAGGGCGCCGAGCCCAGCCTCCTGACCCCATCCAAGGGAGGCCGGAGGTCTGGCTTCTGCCCAGTACCTGGCTTGGTGCTAGAGTCCCAGCTGATGTGGCCTGGAGGCTGGTGGCCTGGGGTATCACATGGGTGGTCTCTCCGCTCTAAGCCGAGGCCTCTGGGGAAGCCACAGGGCTGGAGTAAGAGGCTTCCAAGCTCAGGGGTGGCGAGCAGAGGTCAGGGCAACCTGGAGGGCAGGGCGACCTTCCTGCTGGAGGCCGAGCGGAGCCTGTTCCCGCTAGAGTCAGAGAGACAGGAGGCCTGGGTGCAGGGGAAGCCGTGAGGAGTGAGTGGAGGAGGGGTGCTGGGTGGCATGGACAGGGTCCTGGGGCGCTCCCTGCCTGGTGCGCCCGCCCGGCCTCCTCCCTCCCACTGTTTGAGACAGCCAACAGGCCTGACCACGAAGTGCCCCGTCACTCCTTCTCACCCTCTGCTGGGGTCCTTCGTGTGGGAGCAAGGGTCTGGGAGGGGACACCAACATGAACTCTGTGTGTCCGAGCGCCCAGGCTGGGTTTGCCCTGTGCAGTGAGGGCCAGGAATGCGAGGAGGCGGCCCCCAGGCCATGACAAGGAAGACCGTCTGCAGCCCACCGCCCAGGGCCGAGAGGTCTGGGCCCCCCTCCACCTGAGGAACAGAGCCTACCTGACTTCTGCCCCATCTCCCACTACCCCTCCCAGCCCACCAGGGGAAGAGGATTCCATGGGGTCTGGTGACTCCAACTCCAGAGGTCTGAAGCAGCAGGGGTGCGGGTCCATCGGGAGAGGGCGGGGGCCTTCAGAAAAGAGAGGCCTTCTTCTTGAGTTCATTCCGCTTCCACAGAGCCAGCTTGCCAAACTCTTCGGGAGACATGGCAAATACCCTCGAGAAGTCATCGGCGGACAGGTGCCTCTGTGAAAGAACACAAGTTGGGGCTCAGGGAAGGAGGCCCAGGGTGGGGGCCGGGCCCAGTGACCTAGGGGGCACTCAAACAGGGGGCCAGGGCCGCCCCCACCCAGGCAGGAGAATCCGCCTTGCTGGTGGCCCTGCACCCACCCGGTGCCTTTTCCGGGCACTCAAGCCTCAATACCTCAAGCCTCATCCGATCCACGCCCGGAGGCAGCTTGGTTCGTCCCTTGTTGGTCACCATTAGCATTTCATAGGGATAGATCTGAGGACGAGGGAGGGACAATCTCAGGTCCACAGAGCTTTTTGTCAGCACAGCCCCTCAACTCCCCAAGCCCCCCTAGCAACCTGCAGAGGCCTTTGGGGTTCATGCCATTTTGCCCGCTGTCTCCCTTGGCTTCCCTGCCGCCCCACCCCTCCTCAAGGCCGGGAGGACCCTCAGCGCATCCAACTTGCCTGGTGTCCCCAGCCACCCGCCCCGCTACAGGCGCTTGGGTCCCCTGCCCCTCACCTTCTGCTCCAGCACACAGGGCAGGGAGTTCCCCCGGTCCATCCTCCCCCTCTGGCCCTCTCCGTTCTGGGGAGACCAAAGCCGCAGTGAGCCAGAGTGGGGCAGGGAGACCTTCCCAGCCTTACCCCGGCTTCTCGCGTCTTCACCAGGCAACTCCGTGGCCCCCTCACCCCCCGTCCCCCGACATTTCCAGTTGCCTGGCCCTGGCCTCTGGTGCTCCACCTGTTCCCCTCCAGGAGGAACTCACCTGCAGTCCTGCGGAGAGAAGGGTCATGATTCACAGGCTACTCCCAGTCAGCAGGCCTCCACACCTGACCTCGTCACAGACCCCAGACCCCTGCCCACAGCCCAGGTACAGGCTGCCCAGGGACCTGCGTCCACTGCTTCCCCAGTACCATGTCCCGCTTCTCACCTGGACTTCCAGTCTCACTCCCCGACGGGCTGAACTCTGTGGACTGTAGCTAGAAAGGACACGAAGGAATCAGAGGAAGCCGGGGACACTTGTCATCAGTCCCCTTGGCCTTGAGGGTGTCCCTGCTCCCCGAGGATGCACAAGGGCTCAGTCCCTCAGCACTCCGCATGCACCCCCCTCCTACACTGTCTGTGTCTCTGGTCCCGAGATCTTACCCGGCTCAGGGTGGTCCTGCCGTAGGAGGGGAGAGAGGAAGACTTGGACGTTCCTGCATGCAAGGCTGGAAGAGAGCGAGAGGTCCTGGACTCAGTTCCTTGGGCCCTGACAGCTCTTTCTGAGAGCTCCCTCGCCAGCCCTCAACGCCTGGGGCAGGGTGGAGCTGGGGGAACCCCCTGGTCACCTTCAGCAAGTGACACAGCGCTGGCGATTCTGAACTGTCTCTATCACCTCCCCTCTTCTCTCTACTACCAAAACATAATTGGACCAAATGCCTGAGTGTGAAAATTGATAGCCAGCCAGAGCTGAGGCTTGCCATCTGAAAATGGACACCTGGGATACACAAATACAGCTAAAACGAATCAAGATAATTAAATTATTGCCATTTTATTAACAATGTTAGTAATCCCGCACCTTTGGGAGGCTGAGGTGAGTGGATTGCCTGAGCCCGCGGGTTCGAGACCCACCTGGGCAGCGAGACCTCATCTCTACAATAAATAAAAAAATCAGACAGGTGTGGTAGCACATGCCTGTAATTCCAGCTACTTGGAAGGCTGAGGCAGAAGGATCGCCGGAGCCCAGCAGATCGAGGCTGTGGTGGCCGGGAGCGGCCACTGCACTCCAGTCTGGGTGACAGAGTGAGACTCCAACTCAAACCCAAAAAAACAAAAAACAATGTTAGTAATCAAATTTTAATTTTTTTTAAGTGAGAAAGCAGGATTTGAGAGGATAGGAAAGCTCCCGTAGTGAGAGGGGACCTGAAGAGATTGCCAATTTTTTTTTTATAGAGACAGGGTCTTGCTATCTTGCCCAGGCTGTACTTGAACTGCCCTGGGCTCAAAGGATCCTCCTGCCTCATCCTCTCGAATAGCTGGGACTATAGGGGTGAGCCACAATACCCAGCTAGTAATCAAATTTTAAAGGTCTCACACTATACTACAGAAACAATTATGTGCTCAGCACCATCAGCAGTGGATTGCACCTGCATCCATAACTTCACATCGACATCACTGGGCCTTACTCTCAATTTGCACATTTAAAATGATTGCTAAACTTTCAAGCACTGCAGATTATCATTCAAGAAAATTTGTTTTCAGTAGTGTGTTTTCTTTCTTTTTTTGAGTTGGAGTTTCACTCTGTCACCCAGACTGGAGTGCAGTGGCCGCTCCCAGTCACCGCAGCCTCAACCTGCTGGGCTCTGG